GTAGACACCAACCACAAGGTTCCCTTTGTTGCCTCTGTCCCCAACTCTTACTCATAAGGTTTCAACCTGCTCGTGGCTATTCTTCAGGGACAGCTCTTCACACTGTATTGATTTCTTTACGTAGAGGGCAACGCCTCCGCCCCTCCTTCCTCGCCTGTCCCGTCTGAAGAGCCTGTAGCCATCAATAGCCACATTCCAGTTGTGGGATTCGTCCCACCAGGTTTCGGTTATGGCAATCAGGTCGTAGCTGTCTAGTAGCACAGCAGCTTCCAGCTCCTCCTGTTTGTTCCCCATGCTGCGTGCATTCGTGTAGAGGCATTTCATCTGGGCTGTTGGCTGTGTCACCTTCTTAGTGGAACATCCCTTATTTCCCTCAGGGTGTTTCATGAAGGTTTCCTTGTGAGCTCTAACTATCTCAGGAGCCCCCGGCTCATCTCTGCCAGACTTCAACTGTGCTGCAGCATCCCCATCATGCCTCTGTGCAACAGGTTGAGGGCTCACAGTAGCACCCCGTCCCTCTAACCATTGCGTACCATCCCACAGCTTGTCACAGGCAAGCCTGGTACGTTCCCCCTCCCCCTTCACATCTTCACATTTAAAGCCCTGTCAATGAGCCCCACAAGCTCCTGTGCAAAGACCCTCTTTCCCCTTTGAGAAAGGTGGCACCCATTTGTCGCCAGCAAGCCTGGTGCCATACAGGCCGTCCCATTGTCGAAGAACCCAAAGTTGTGACGGTGGCACCAGCCTCGGAGCCATGTGTTAAGAGATTGGATCCGCCTGTTCCTACCAATGTCACCTCCCACAACTGGAAGGAGGGAGGAAAAGATGACCTGTGCCCCCGATTCCCTCACTAAGCGTCCCAAGGCCCTGAAGTCTCTTTAATCACCCTTGGGCTACACACTGCAACTTCATCACCACCCACGTGGAAGAGCAGTAAGGGGTAGTAGTCTGAGGGCCGTACCAGGCTGGGAAGTCTCCTGGTGATATTATGACAAATAGTCACTTTCTCACCTGCTAACAACTGATTCCACCTTCTCCAGGCAGCATGGGAACCTTACACCTAATTGCAAGAGGGTTTTCTCTTTACATATCCTGGAAAGGTAAAGATTAGAGAACATCATAAGCCTGTGACCTCTTCAAGGACAGCAAATGCTATTTTCTAGAAGAAAAATCAGGAGGACTGGATGGGACAGGACTATGCTGGTGCATGAATGCTAACCACCCATGTCTGAAGAGGTTTGCAATGTTTAAACTAGTTCCAAAGCCAGCCTAATCTGGGCACCCTTTCTCCCAAGGAAGACCAGGAACATGGTCTCCTTTCCACTAAACCTTCTAAGGTGTGCAACCACAAACCTTCTAAGCATTTCTACGTGTCAGACATTTTGGCCAAACTTGCTTCAAGTTGGCTAATGGCTTAAATATGCACTGGAGACAGAGAATAAAGAACAGAAGAGCAAGTTAAAGTGCTGGCTTCAATCCCCTTTCCTTAAAAGTATCAGGCTAAAAGAAAATATCTAAAAGATACCAGAACTTGAGATGCTACTTACGTGATCTCAGTAATGTTTCCACAGGCCTGGACAGCCAGCTCAAGAAGGTTTGTGACACCTTTTTTACATACCCATGGCTCTTCTATGCTGCAAAGCAGAATATAGGCAGCTCTGCTTTATTCACTTGCACAGATCCACCTCTGCCTCTGTCAGCTGCGTGCTCAGCACTCTAATATAGATGGAAAGGCTGCTTTGCTCATCAGAGTAATGTCTACATAGGAAACAGGATGCAAACTGGGAACAAACAGAGAAGCAGCCCAGTGTCCCTGCAGAGGAGGACACAAACATCAACTTCCCTCCTGCCTGCCTACAACTGACAGCAATGAGAGAGAGCCTGGCCCTTGTGCTCTAATGCACCACATTTTGGGAGAAGCGAAGAATTCATTGCCCAGGTGAACCGTGGGATGCTCTGGTGAGACCTAGTTAAGGACACAGTAGGAATGTGTTCACCAAAATTAGCAACCTTCTTTGAGGTCTACAGAGACAGCAGAGTTTATGGCCACAGCTTTACATGATTCTTAGTAGGAATCCAGGAGATAAAGCCGAAATACCAGTAACTTAGAGTCACCCATGGGAATTTCTCAGGCCAACGCTACCCATCTTTGGAAGAAGCACAGTTCACTTTTGTTTTTGATGAAAGGAGATCTTAGATGATCAGACCAGCCTCAGATCGGTATCTAAAACAGCACAGTGACACAGTACCTGATTTTCAGAGGACCCAGATTTTTCCTCAGTGAATGCAAAAGTCTTTCTGCAGCTTGGACTGTCATGTTGTTATTTGAGGATCTAGAACCAAAGGTCATTGTAATGAATGGCTTACAAACAAGCCCACCCAAATGGGTCCAAGCAGCCATTAACTCACATGTACTCTGTCAGACCAGTGCACTTTTCCAGGAGCAAGCACAACTTTTCCAAGTGCTCTGGCTGAAAGTTGCACTCTGCGAGTCTGAAAGGATGCAAAAGAGAACAGTCTTAGCTCCTTACAAACAGTTCAGGCTTTCTGACCCAGAAATCTCAGGCATCACAACCCTTCCCACAGAGAAAGAAGGATGGCATGAAAACCTTAAACACCTTGCAGAGCTTCCAAAAAAGATCATGGCACCACTTGAAAAGCATCTGTTGAGATGTTCTGATACAGCATACAGGTATGATAATGGTGCAGCTTTTTGTAGCACCCTGTCCTGTGACAGGGACTGTAGGCACACCTACAGGTTCCTACGTTAGGAACAGTCAGTGGGGAAGCAGTGACAGAAAGGGATGTAGGATTCTCTGTGATGTGAGAAAGTTCTTCTCAGAAGGTGAATCGAAGGATATGTATCATCTATCAGTCTAAAATATCACCATTCCAGGAGCTAGGGTCTACAAGAGGTTTTGTCTGCCTTGGCCCTAGAAAAAGGACACCACCTTTGTCAAAGAAATCACCAAAAAAACCCCTGTACTGTTACCTCAAAATCTTTCTTGGGTCATCTCTGCTTGTCAACTTGATAATTAAAGTTGCTTTGGAACACAAACTGCACAGAGAAGACACATGAGTGTAAGATTTGCAGGGAAAATTACTATTTTTCCCAGTGGTCAGAATTTAACAATACATCAAACTGCACAAAGCAACACAGCACAGCAGTGACAGAGGTACCTGGCCCAGCTCACCTCTTCCCAGAATAAAGCAGCCCAGGGAAATGCTTCGGTAAGGTTTCACTAATGCTAAATTGGCATAAGGCAGCGCTGGTGCTTGGAAAAGCAATTCTGATCTGCCCTGCTTTTGTCTGCCTCCTCCTGTCCCTGCACTCTCTGCCAAGCTCTGAGGAGAGCTAAAACAGGAGACTGATCTGCTTTAAAATAGCCCAGCCAAAAGATTCAGCACCCACAGTTAACTGCAAGAATGAATGGAAGTGACCCTGGTTAAATTTGGTTCATGACGGACCAACTGCATGGATCAACCAACTGGTCAACGTGAACATAAACACTGATAAGGGAAGATCTGCAGCATGGCCCAGCCTTGTGATTTGAATCCATGAGAAAAAGCAGTTCATGCCAGTGCAACAAGCCCAGAAGCCATGGGCTATTTTTGGAAAGGAGAGAGGAAAGGAGATAAAGATGCAAATCTAAGTAAAGAACATTGGAAATTGCTTTCAACAGACTCACTGTGAAATCTCAACATACTGAAGTGAATTAGGGACCACATTTTTAGAGAACAAATGCTGACTCCTGCCCTGAAGAGGTTCATTTACAGATACATACATGACAACAATTAGTACAGCCGAATACCTGTGTTTTTATACACAAAAATGATAGGCCTTGTGGAATAACAGTTCTGCTAGCTTCCTCCTTGGCAGCTATGTTTGGCCAGTAGAAACAGACATAAACAAAAGCTTTGCATGCACTTATACATAAAGGTAGTTGAAAATGTGGCCCTTGTCATGATTACCTGAAGCTCACAAAGTTTCGATAATTAAGAGGAAAACATGCAGGGAAGAATCAGAAATTAGTGAGTAGAAACACACACCTGACTTGAACTTCAGTGGTATTTCCAGATGTGGCAAAGACATTTATGAGATGCAGAACTCCATCCTGAGAAATCCTATTATGGCTGAGACTGCACAGAAGAGAAGGAAGGTTTTTCAGGAATTAAGAGACAGGGTTGTCCCCAGGCTCCTACGGCGAAATTCAAGTTGGCACCGAAGGCAGAGCAGTTTGTGGGGTGCTGGGCCCCTTCGGCTTTGCTAAATGCACCGAACCCCTCCAAGACACAGCACTGATGATTTGGGTGACACAGCAAGTGCAACTTGTCTCTTGCACTACAGAGGCAGCTGACTGCCAGAGTGGTTGCTTCCCCACCAGAAAGGGAAGGGGAGAGGCTGGTGTAGGGCACAGCTTAGCTCACAGCATCTATGTGCCTTGAGTTATTCAAAGAGGACAACATACACAGAAAAGTGATGAACTAAAAACTCAGGGGACTGGGTCAACTGCTGTCACACTACCCCACTCTGGGCCTTGTTATCTCCTGCTGATGCTAACAGAAAGACTTTTACTTACTTCACAGGTTTTGGATCAGACCCTGAGTCACCCTGGCCTGAAGGTCTTGAGTTGTGCTCATGGCTCGCTCAGACCTTACCTCCTAAGGCAGGAGTAGGCAAGAAGCATGACAACCAGCTTCAGGAGGGATCATATGAACACCTTTCTGCTGGGGCACCTCACGTTCAGTGTTTTCTTACTTGAGGGAACAGGTAACGGGCACTCGAGGCAAGTAGTCCAAGAGGCACCTCAGGCCTTCATCTCCCAGCTGATTCCTGGAGAGACTGAAAGGCAGAAGAACAAGGTGGCCAACCAAAATTCAGCCTTTTAAGCAGCAATGCTCCTCTGAGAAGCTTTGAAGGACAAAGCCAAACTTCCTGGACTTAAATCCCAGCTCGGCCATTAAAGGTCTGTCTAAACCAAACTGCTGCTCTACAAAACTATCTCATGCATAAGCTCCAGAGCAAGCTCAAATGAAGAGCTCTGAACACAAGCTCAGAGCAGCTCAGACAAAGCAACAAATGCCTCAAAGCTGCCACAGAGTGAAAATCCCAAGGAAGTTGTCCCACCAACTCAAGCCCTCTTAAAATATATATATAAAGGACCTGTATGATTACTAATCAATTTTGTTTCTAAATAGTCTGAACAAGCACACATACACAGGCAGACAGGCTGGGAAACCCCAGGCAATGCTGAACCATGCCAACCCAGCTCTCCCTCAGTGACTCCTGTTCAAGGTCATGGTAACAACCCAAGCCCCACTTACTCTACTTCTGCCAGCCACCCATGCTGCTCCAGGACTCTGCAGAGCTCATCTATCTGTCCTTGACCAATGGCACAGTCCGTCAGCCTGTGTATGAGACAGCAAGAGAGTTAAAGCACGGCCAGCAACCAGGTTCAGCCTGAGCAGTGAGAGCTGCCCATCAGCAGCTGCATTTTTACACCAGTCTTCATGCAACATTCACTGAGATGGATGCCCTTAGCTGTGCCAGTGTTTAATATTTCCCATAACATTTTCCTGAGGTTAGTAAGAACAAACTCCACATTATAAGTGGGGAAACAGGTCTTTTCACATTTTTTGCCATCTCCTTGGTGCCTAACTGGAGACGTGTTACAGTCTTATTTACAGGGGCACGCAGCAACCATCACTCCCAAAGAGGTTGCAGACACATATCACAAACACATCACACCAATGCTCATAAGGAGATTATCGCCCTGAATTTGAGGCACACATGTGGAAAATGCAGTGGCTAGGGCTCAATTCAATTGCTTGTCCAGCAGAATTTGGTGCCACTCAAGCTGATCATGAGTAGTCCAGTGGCCACTCAAGAAAGGCACAGGCCTCTGCTGTCCCAATGCATCTCAAATGGTACTGAGTTGCACTTGGGCAGCTGAATTTAGCCCCAAAGCCTCAGCTACTAGCCCAAGCTCCTTGACTACCAGCCTGTGAGTTCTTCTTATAAGAGGAGATTTGGCTACTTGCACTAGTGTTTCAAACCAAATCAAAACAAGTGAATTACAATTAAGTGCTGTATACCAGTACCTGCAGGATGTCTTTTGGCTTTGCATGTTTGCTCCTAAATGCAAAATAGCATTTTCACTTGACCTGAAGCAAACACAAAAGACAGTCCTTCAGCAATGCTCTTCAAAAGCTTTGTAGTCCCTTTAACAGTGAGCTGCTGGTCTCCAAACAGTCTGAGTGTCTTACCGGACTTCTACCATTTTGATCCGCTCACAGAGGTTGATGGAGTTAATGAGTAAGACAGTGCAACATGGGGAAAACATGTTGTTCCTAATACTGAAAAGGAGGGGAAAGAAAGAACAATGAAATCAGCTCCCAAGGAGAAAGGTTCCGATACACACAGCCCAATTTTCCCACTGTTTACTTTGAGATGCAAAAGGTTGGATCTGCCCCATTTAACTCAAGATCAGTGAGCAAGGATCTAAATTTTGAGCATTGGCAGCCAGCATTCCTTTAACTAAAGGAGAGTCTCCTTTGACTAAAAAGGGAGTACAGACCAAGGGTTTACACTGAACAACTCCTCTTCAGGGCTACTGGACTAGAGATACGCCAGACTGGAAGCAACCTCCTGAGTGAGCAAATTCAGTCTCTCAAGACACTGCAGCTCCCCCATGCTACATCTTGCAAAAGATGGCCAAGCTCCTTCTGGGCATTTTGTCCACATGGTGGGAGTGCCATAGCTCCTGACAGCACCTCTCTAGCCTAAATTCCCAGCCTAAATGGCTGATATGCTGCCAGGAAACACTTTTGGTGTCAAGTGTGGCAGGATGCCAGATCCCTGCAGGGGCAGAGCTGTGAGATGCTGACCATGCACATGGGTGGTGTGCTGTCACCGTGTGTCAACCAGCAAGTCCTACATCTGTTATGGATCCTGGAAGTCATGTTCCACGGGACCTGCTAAGTGAGGATTATCTGGGATGTTGTGCCTAGGGTGGGTGTTTCTCCTGTTGTCCTTTTTTTTCTCTGTGTATCATTAAAGAAAAAAGGTTCAGTGGTGCTTTGGTTCTAGAAACAAGACAGGAATGGGTGTGAAAGAGTTTCTGCATTTTCTTTGCCTAGCTTGTTAATCTACAATTACTGATTAATGCTCCTGAGACATGTTGTGGTATTAACACTTTCCAAAACAATGTTTCATGGCAACAATCAAAGCAGGGACCCCAAACATTACCTCAGTAGTCTCAGATTACAGAGGTATGGCAGGAAGCTCAGTAATCTCTCAATGCTCTGGTCACTCAATGAATTTCCAGACAGACTGTAAAACATGGAAGGAAACACATTCCAAGAGAAACTGGAACAAACTTTAAGTATTTCTATAAAATCTACACGGACATGCACACACACATGTGTGTGGGGGTGTTACAGGCAAGTTCTGAAAAAGGACACGTCCAGAAGTGTCCTGAAAGTTGGGTGAGATTTAGTCCTTATAGGCTGATCCTTAGAAGTGTTTCTCTACATCCTATAGCCAATTAACATTCTTTAAAGAGTCTTACTTTTCCATTACTGTAAGTTAAAAAATGATGCTACTGATGTATTTCCTGCATGCAATATGGGTATTATGTTATTTTTATTTATCATTACTCTGCTTCTGTTCTGAGCAGTATTCTTCCAATTTTCTTAGTGCCCAGATCCTGTCTGGAGTGAGCAGGTCTTCAGGAGTTTGGTTGATGGCTTAGTGGGCCAGGTGCTCTTGCTCTGGCTATACTGCAAGCCAGGGTCTCAAAGAATAGATGAAAATACTTGTGTATAGCCATATGATTGAGGAAGACTATGAGAACACATATGTGTTCTGCAGTGTTTACACACAGACATGGTAGACTTAGGAGAGGCCAAACTCTGAAGCAGAGAGGGAAATGGAAGGTGTGGGTTTATCTAAGCATCTGGGTGAAGTTTTGCAGGGGTTTCTAGGAGGTTGTAGTGAGAGGAGAGCCAATTTACACTAGCTGCTAACCTGAACACTGACTCTGTATCTGCAGGTTGGGGAGACAGACAGACAGGGTTGCCGAGTGCACAACACTTACTCAATTTCTGCCAGCTGGGGACATTGAGTCAGTATCTGGCACAGCCTGGTCACATCCTCAGGACCCACTCTGCAGTCCCTGAGACTGAAGCAAACAAAGCACTTAGGAGCTAAACATTTCCCATGACCATGGTATGGCAACATTCCCTTCATATCCTGGAGCCTCACATCTTAGGACGAGACCCATAGCAACCCTCTCACTTCCACTACATATATTTTCCTACCCACAGTCTAGGACTGAGAAATCAAAACCTGTGACAACCAGAGGATTTCAGCAGCTCTGAGTTGATTCAAGACAGCCAGTCCACCAAAATACCATGTTACTTTGGGTGTCACCTCCCTGGAGCCACATCATCAGTACTTAAATTGTCTCAGGAGACTGGACAGCATCTTTCCCTGCTCAGCACTGTCTCAGGTCTCCCAGAGCAAGGCTGGGAATGGTGCCTTTCTCCTTCTCCAAGAAGGAAATCGCAGAAACCTTCCTGGGTGACAAACTGGCAGGTGTCCATGGGACGAATGTAGTAGCCAGCCAGATCTGTATCTCATTATTTATGGGTAGAAGATTCCCCCTGCAGGGAAGCAAGACAATCCCTTTGAGCCTAGCCAAGCAAAAAACGTGCTATTTATTTTCATATATATGCCTGTAGCAGCGGACATCCCAAGTCTATCCCAAGAGGGTGTATTATTCACCCAGTCACCTCTGGCATACCATTGTGTCCCTCCAGTGACCACAAAGCACAAATACCTGTTGGCCTGGGTTGATGCCAGCTGGCCCAATCTCTTTAAGGCTTTGCCAAATTACACCAGCCAAGACCTTCTCCCTTGTAACCAAATGTTATTTTGGGGACTGGCCTCCCTGACCAGTTTCAGCAGGGGAGAGGATGGAAGAGAGATACATTAGAGATGGACCTTTTCCAGAGGTGTCTCATGTGGAATCAGTCATGGCGGGATACAAGCAGAGGAAAGAAACACCTGCTTTCCAAGAGAGCTGAGTCTGCCTCTGAAGGCAGGCAGGGCACTGGACAGCTCTCTGAGAAGACACAGCTGGAGAAGGATGGGTCTGTTCCACACATTATGCTACAGATACAGACCCCCACAGCCATTCCTCCCTGCACTCCTGGGTGACAAAAGAAAGCTGGGGCTGCCATACCGAAAGCACCATCCTTTTGCTACGTGCTTGGGATGCACCAGGAAACTACTTCTCCATCTGCTGGTACTTCTGACCCTGGGGAAAGAAGGGTTTACCCCATGAGTTGTGCTGATATTATTGCCCCCATGTAGCTGACTCCCCACACTGCAGCTGGGGAAGAGGGTGAAGTGGTGGCAGTGGCCTCACGCTTCAGTCTGCCTTTTCTCACCATCTGCCAGAATTAGGTTCACATCATCACCAGAAGAAAAAGGGCCTTATCATCCCTCTTCCAGCCTTTGGGCATCCACTCAGAACTTTGGGCATTTGCTCTGCCCTGGCCCAGGAGGGAGATGACTGCAGCCCCGATCAGCAGCGGGATACTGCAATCTGCTCCATGCCCTCAAGCCACTGTCAATCAATGAGCCATGAAACAGCTCACCCCACTTCCACCACCCTGACTGGAGTTTGGAGCCAAATGGCTCTTTAATTGGCATACCTGAGGGACTCACACATCACCATCTATATAAAATCTCATAAGGAGGAGTTTGAAAGGCTTAGGCAGATGAGTAGGTATGAATTTACCTGGTTCTTTCCCAAAAGGTTAGATGAACCACCTGTGCGTGTCCTAAGCTGTAACCAGAAAAGAACATTATTAGGATGGAGTTTGAAGACATGTGCTCCTGTATCACTCCTCAAAAACCAGAGCTTGAGGTCTTAAATAGCAAAAAATAGAAAAAGTACTCCTGGCCATACCTGAGGTTCATTGTTTTGATATGTTCCAATGTAGATAAGGACTGAGCTAAGAAAAACACAGAGTTCAGGGAGATCTGGTTGTCATTAAGCCTGCAGGAAGAAGAGATGAAGTCAGCTGCCACAAACAAAACAACTAGCAATTTGCACTGCGTCACCTGATAATAGCAATCCTTGTCCAACACTCTCAGAGACTGCTTCTTTGCCACCTTCTGCCTGTGTTTCCAACTACAGTTCTGCAAACACAACTCACTCCAGTATTTTTTAAATTTGTCCCTCACTTTTAGAGTTCAGAGAATCACAGAATAATTGAGGCTGGAACAGACCTCTGGAGACGATCTAGTCAAACTCTCCGGCTCAGGGGAGGGTGAAATAGAGCAGACGGCTCAGGACATTGTCCAGCTGGGTTTTGAACATCTCCAGTAATGGAGAATCCACAATCTCTCTGGGCAACCTGTTCTAGTGATTGACTACCCTCACCACGCAAGTTTTCTTCTTCTGGTTAAATGGAATTCCTTGTATTTCAAGACACCGATGCAAGGCAAAACCAACTCCTTGGCTGTAAGTGCAGTTGTGGCAGTACAAAATCCACACTAAGATCATGCTCAGGTCTGTTTGGTCTATCACAGTATCTAGTGTGACGATGGGCAGTGTGCTTGATGCTGGGGGGAAAAAAAAAACCCAGATAAATAACAGTGGTGTGTTTCATTGCACTGATGTGAAGAGAAGCTGTAGTCAGTAACTGGAACAGTCTTGGCTTGAGAACAGTTCAATTAATCAATCAGGAACAATAAATATCTCTTTCAATAAAGCAGAATGGCGCTACACTCCTTAAGCCTTAAGTCCTATACAGTGCACTTGCAATGGGAGTGCCAGGTAGAATACACAGATAAACATAAGCCAACCATTGTGGCTGAATCCAGACTCCACTGCTGAAGCTGGAGCTCCCCAGCAGTTATCTTCCAAAGGTGCCCACCTCAGGAGGGGAAGGACTGCTCTCCCTCCCGATCAGTAACTGGGAGAGGAAAAATTCAGTGGCCTGCTGAAGATCTCAGCGTGTTTCAGAAACCAGGTGCCACACCTGCACACAAGATCACCTGTCTCCTTCATGGAGGATTGAGTACAGAGGCTCTTGGGCACTGATCTCAGTCAAGCTTCTAGTGGAGTCAATCTGTTCCGGACTAGAGGTGGGGACAGACCAGACAGCACAGTGGATCTACCCTCAACAGACACAGAATATAACTGCACTTGATCCTGAAGAGCCCTTCCCAAACGTGAACTGTGCTTCCACACCCAATACTCCCACAAAAACCCATCCATGAGTAAGTGAAACAGGAGCTACTTACTTGAGAGAAGTTAACGTTTTCAAATTTGGGAGGAACTGAAACAGCTGCAAAAGTCCCTCATCTCCCAGATAATTATTTGATAGGCTAGGATTTAAAGGAAGGCATTTAATTTTCATAGAATAAAAATAGGCACAATCTGCTCTAAGTAACAAGAGCTCTGAAAGCAGAACATGGGCACCCTAATCCAAACAACACATGCACTGCCCCTCTCCACTGACAACTAAAGCCTACATGGAAACCAGGGACTGGAATTAACCAACATAAGACAGTCAGAAACCTAGCTCAGGTCTCATCTTTTTCTCACATCCACAAAGAGACCCCTCTGGACTGACAGTACTTTTTATTGCAGTTACCAGGGACCAGAAGTTGACAGCTCTGAGGAATGATCAACCTGGACAGGCCCAACAGAGGAGCCACGGGTTAATCCTGGAGAAAGATATTAGGCTCTGATATTAGAGCCTAAGGATTACAATGGGCTATGGCCCATGTGAGATCAAGGGACCCGATTGCTTAAGAGCAAAGTCTAAAAATCTCTTCCACAGGCTGCCAGGCTTAAGGGAATAGCCAGCCCTCAGGTAGTGGTACATAAGCTACAGGCTTGTGCTGGCCCTTGTTCTGCCCTCAAAACCTAGATGTGGAGGGGTGCGTTGGTTAGCCTTTCCATCAGGGCTGGGTCTGCTCACCTCTTGGTGTTAGCAAACAGGATGACTCCGCACACAGAGCACAAACAGAAGAAAGTGCTTTGGTGCTGAAGGTCCTTGCACACCATATGTGGGATCACCAGCAAAAACACAGGCTGCCACCCTCATTTTAGGTGGGATTCTTCATGCTCTGCAGCTTTGCTCTCAAATGGCCCAAAGGCAAAAATGACAGGGCAAGGTTTTACAGCTTTGTAGTACCTGAAGTCAGGCTAAGTGATCAAACAGCCCCTTTCTAGATTTATGTCCTGCAACCTTTGCCCTAAGAGAGCACTAGAACTGTATGTCTCCTTGGCATACAGTGGGCTAATGCCCAAGTAAAGCTATGCCTTTCATAAGGCTACATGTCTACCACATCCTCTGTATAACACTGCAGAACAAACAAGTGGCATTTTCTCAACATCCCAAAGAACTGCAGATAAAGACTGTAAGAGTTAAGAAGGACTCACTCCAGCTCAGAGACGCTGTTACATTCCTTCAGGACTGCACACAGCTTCTCCAGGTCACCGGCTTGAAAACAACTATCTGTCAGCCTAGGGTGAAAGAGAAGTCAATAGCCCGGGTCTGCAGGATTGCAAACAAGATTGTAAACGTCACTCTTTCAGAAAACTAGAGAATAAACAAGGAGATAATAATGAAATAAAAAAAACCCTTGAAATATCTTGGGTTTTGGTGTGGGTTTTTTTTTTTTTTGTCTGCAACAACTGATAATCTGTACTTTCAGCTCTTTTCTGCAAACAGAATAAAGAAACAAGGTAAAGAAAACTTGTGGCACAACAAAGAACCAGGTCCCCAAGGTCCTGGTTAGAAGGCTTTAGGCACATCTTCTTCCTACCTCACTGCAGCCTACAACAGACAGGCACACTCTGCGCTGGAGTCAGAGCATGACCTGAGAGGCATCTGAACATGGGTCCAGCTTAGGATGCATTTCTCCAAATATCAGTAGAGGACCCCCCCAACATCACAAGCTCTGTCACCGCCAGCGCCCCAACTCCCTCATGGGAGCTGATGCAGTAAGCGCACAATCACCACACCAATTCTGTGAATAAGATACACAACCCACAATCTATTTTGACTCCTGTAGAAGACCACAGACACTAATCTAGTGCTGCAAGCTAGGAATGTGAACACAGTGACAAATGACTGACTGAAGGGGCCTTTACCAGCTCTGTTGTGATTCACCATACAAACCTGGGGATGCAGGTTACATTAGTTATAGGATCCAGAGATAAGACATGCATGAAACACAATGAAAATTTGCCATGGTACCTTATTTTTTTTGAAGCAGTAGGTGTCTGGTTTTCCTCTCCATATTGTCGGTCATCAGTAGAGAACACAGGCTCTTCCCTAGTAAGCGAGCATAAAACCAGACAACGGTAAATCACTTATGCTTTAGCAATTTGGCAGGTCCCTGGGGATACCCTGGCTCTAGCGCACACCCATATCTTGCCAATAGCAAGCTCTTCTTTCTTTCAGTGATTAACCAAACACTTGAGCATGCAGGGAACTGGGGAGAAGGGGAAGAGACAGATTTCTCATCTAAGCTACAGTTTGATGGAGAATTCAGCTTTTGCCTAAACATGTGTTGTGAAAAGAGTCCACGTCTGTGCAAAAACCTGACTATTCATAAATAAATGGAACATCCAAATCCTAAAATATCTGAGTTTGAAATGTCACCTGGTGCCTTAAAGGAGTCACAGATTACGTGTCTCGGGCTGTCACTCTCTTTAAAGCATAGCCACAACAACTGGGTTGCATCCCATGATAGCCCTGCTGTTCCTCCCCACCTAAGAAGTGGGACGCAGATGTACCGTGGGAAACGCTATTTTACAGTGGGCTCAGTTCATGGAGAACAAATAAATAACCTACAGCTCCAGGAGCCGCAGGAAACCATTTCTCAAACAAAACATTTGGGTTGAGCTGGTCCGACCCATAATTTTCTAAGGGGAAAAATAAAACTCCAGATTTATTTTGATTTAGGAGTACCATGATCCAGAATGCATAGTGTAGTGAACTAGATGGTTTTAAACATGCAGGGACCTGTGAATCTTTTTGGAATTTGGTTTGGAGGTGTGGGGTTCACTTGTTTTTTTACTGTTCACTATTATCAGATAGCACAGCTCTCATTAAACAGCCTGCTTTGCTTAGGATGCTGTGGGTTGAAATGTCCCCTACAGACACAAAACATAATCAAATGCTATAGAAGGCAGTGGCCAATTGCCAAAGTGGCTGAGAAAACCAGGAGAAAGTACTACATTTAGATTCAGAGGGGAGAGGGGGCAAGAACTGCTGTGAGACGAAGTATTACGCTTGGTTCCTAAACAGGATGTAAGAAATAAATGAGATGCTGAGAAAATACCATTTGTGCACACACACTCTACCTAGGAGGAAGAGAAGCAAACTCTCTGTCTTCTGTAAACCTCAGGACTGCAGTCTCACGAGAAAGGCTGTGAAGAAGAGAAGGAATCAATCAATGTCACATTTTGGTTATTTACAGGACTTTGTGTTTTAAGAACGCTCTGCAAAACTCTTTGGTGACACTAATCACTTAAAACACTCCCAAAGCAAGCAAAAAATAATCTCCATTAGTTTTAAATCCTGGTTGGAGCAAACTATGTAATATCGGATGACCCAGTTTCTCTGAACCACTAGAGAAAGTGCAGACAAAATTGTCACACTTGAACTCCAGGGGTGTTCAAAGGGAAAGTAATAGAAGAGAACTTCCAGCTCCACTCCAGGAGATGTCACCAGTTCTCATACTCCACAGAGACCCTCTCTCCAAAACTTCCCAGGGCAGAGAGCAGGAAAGAGACCAAAACTGCCCCACACATGAAAGGACACACAGTTCTGTACCCTCTCAAATTCTGGTTGATGGCTAAGATAAAATCAGCTTATAGCAATGTATTACCAAGTGTCAGTGTTAGTAATCATCTTTGGACAAGTTCTTCACCCACCCCAGTTGTGAGGTGACTCAACAAAAATCTCAGAACCTAACTCTCAGACTTGTATGTTGGGATTAACCTCAAGAATGATTCAAACACCTGCATACCTGACTTGTACTTCCATCATCTTCTGGCAGGTATTTACTGACTTCAACAGACTGCAAATGCCATTAACAGAGAGGCAGTTTTGACTGAGACTAAGAAAGATAAAAAAGGCAATTAGCTGGTCACTGAAATCACACAGGACTGTCCTCGTGGAAGTGGTCATCTGTGCTGCATGCTTGATCCCATTTCACTTCAGAAGTGGCACGGTGGAAAACACACAGGACCACTACTCCTGAGGAAGGGGTTTTAATGAAAGGGCACTTCATATACATTTAGACCAGTTTCCATGCGTGATGCTCTGAGCAAGTGACCAACTTCAGCTTGAACAGTCTTATGGGCTGAGTCTCATCTTTCCTTAAGAGTGCTCAGAGCTGCTTCTGTAGCACTGGTCTGGGTGAGGCATTTGCCTCCTGGATCCCTGCTCAACATCTCTGTATGGTTCTTGTCAGGTTCAAGAAAAGAGGGCAATTTGGTTTTGTACAAGGCAACACTTACTCCAGCTGCTTTGAAATTGATATCCAAGGGAGGCTTTCCAGCAGGCAACTGCAGCCTTCATCTCCAAGCTTGTTACCTGATAAACTGAGGCATTTTCCAGTTAGTGGGGACTGTTTTGAACAGTATAAACAACAAAGCCCTCAAAATATGCTTGCTTTCCCTTTCCTACAATTGCTTTTTTGCCTGGACTGTTCTTCTCTCTCAGATCAATCTTCCCTCCTTATCTTTGCATGAAGCAACTTCAGACAAAGAGTTTTATCCCTAGGACAACATGATTCATGCTTTAGCCCTAAAAACATCTTACTTTAGAAAACCTAAGTGGGAGTACAAAACAAGAAACCAAATTAGCGAGTGTTTACTATCCTTCTGGAAGGAAGGAAGGAAGGCAGAAAACACTGGATGACAAAGATCTCCAGATCCCAAATCAAATCAGTAAGCTAGAAAACTGGGGTATGAGGTGTAGCTAAATTCAAGACACAATCTGGAGTGAACTGTTTTGCAACAGATATTCCTGCATTTTCCAGGGTAGACAGGCTATAAGGAGAGCTTTACAGCCAAATCCAGGTGGCCTCATATATAGGCAAATAAGAAAAGGTAGGGATGATACTCATTGCAATGTGTAGCTTATGAAGTGGATCTCTTGTCTTTCTCCGCTCACTTCTCCCAACAGAGCTGGATGGCTTTAGAAGACAAAAGGGAAACACAGAAGTAGTCTGTGTCCTTTTACTGGCTCAGAGGATTTGCTGGAGGAGCTGTACCTCTGGGACAGCTCCATACTGCCTCCAGTGTGCAGCACTGCTTTGTTAGCAGGGTCTGCCCTGTAAACTGGCACCTCTGGTTACAGTCGCAGGGAGCCAGAGGCTGCAGTTGTCACAGGAATCAAAGGTTGTTCAGCATTCATCTCACCAAAAATCCTTAACCAGGATCCCACTAGACATAACAGAGTGCTGGGACCCTTCCTTGGGGTCAGGCCCCATGCCTCGCTGCCCTCTACACGTAACATCCCCTGCTCCCCACCACCCACCTGGAGCCACTCAACAGGAAGGAGGCACTTACTCCACTTCGGAGAGACAGGGACAGCTCTGGAGAATGGCAATGATCTCCTTTGCATGTTGGGAAGACAGGCTGAGATCCTGCAAGCTGTAAACAGGAAGCATTAATGAACAGTGAGGGGACAGTGGGGCCCAAGCATTTCTGGTGTTTCCCTCCAAATGAGGGCACACAGAAGCAGTACCAAGAGAGGAAGGCTTTACTCTCTGCTCTGCCACACAATCCGGGGCATATTACTCTGCCCCTCTGTGCTGCAAAAGGAGTGCAGAGGAATGAGCTTGCAGAGTGCTGTGCAAGTGCAACGCCTTGTGTCAGAGCCGCCTGGCACTGCCATCCACAAGAAGGGGATGGATGTAATCGTTCCTATTGTGTAGAGTAGTGAGGTAAAGAGAAGGAGGTAAGGGAGGGCCATTTCACGGTTTTAACATGCTCAGACAACATGCCTGAGTTCTCCTATTTTGAGAAAGCCACTACTCTCTTCTGGAGCCCAGGCAAGAAAGAAAACTATACGGCTCATGCCTTTGGTAGCTATAAGAACATATGGCAAGATGGGCATTATAAAGGGAACTCTGCTTCTCCAGGGCTGTGGAGCCCAACACACAAGAAATAAAGCCACTGGCTGGGCCAGATATGGATTTCTATTGTTATTTTCATTTACCAATTCAGGTTTATTTCAAACTTTTTCACATGTGGAAATATCCTCTGTCCTTAAGGACCAACACAGCTGCTATTCTTGCCTTTCTGTAGTACCTGTCATCTGCAAATCACATTCCCCAGCAGGA